AGGTTAGGTTAGGTAGTAGTCGTCTTCGTTCGTCGTCGTAACTTAACTTAATTTACTTTACTTACTACTACTACTACTAGTCACTATACTTATTGTTGTATCTCTCTCTCTCTCTCTCTCTCTCTCTCTCTCGCTCTCTCTCTCTCTCGCTCTCTCTCTCTCCGTATTCATCCCAGCTTCCATCTTGGGGCTTCACAGCATAGGGTTCAAAATGAGAGAGAGCATTTACCCCTAAAACTATACGAGAGAGAGAGAGAGAGAGAGAGATTCCCACGTTCAATATCTTATAACTGGTCTCCAAATAAACAGAACTTGTGAGATTCCCACATTCATATTATGGTCTCCAATAAACAGAACTTGTAGGATATCATCAGATTCTGTGTCCTTTTAAATAGAATTCTTTGTGTTACTTCACAGTTAAATGCCATCTACAAACAAGATCAACATGCCTATTAGTTAGAGAATAATGCTAATCTTAAAAAGGACCAACATTTCTATAAACGAAAGATATAAAAAAAACAACAAAAAAGAAAATGTAGTACCTCTAGAGGAAACACCTCTAATTTATGGACTTTTTTAACTCCATAAACACAAAAGCGAATTGGACTGCTTTTCTCTATCAAAAGAAAAAGAAGAGGAAGTGGTGAGAGAGAGAATTATTGAGGTATGCAAGAGCCCAAATTACCATAATCGGGTGAAGGTTCAGCAAAGTTGCAATCGATTTCATGACCCCATGTGAGCTTACTCACAGTTGCAGAGCCCTGTACCACTGTACAGTTAAAAGAAGATAGAATTAGACAGTTTGTGACTTTAAAAGGCAACCTACAGGCGGGTACCCTATACAAATAATCAGACGATACTATACAGAAGGAAAGATAAACATGAACAAGTATCAACAGTGGAAAGTCATCTGCTCAAAAAGGTGCTAAGTCGCGTCCCTACGTTGAGCTGACGTTTATAACCGATTGGGAGGCCCCTTCCTTAGCCAAGGAGTCAGCCTCAGAATTGGCTTCTCTCCAAATGTGGCACTACATAATAGAAGTTGAGATGCTAAGTTGTTGAATCTCGTCGAAAACATCATCCAGTCTCCACAGCCACAAAGAACTGCCCGAGGCCCAAGCCAACATGTTTTTGGAGTCACCTTCAACTATTAGAGATTGGCACCAAGATGGATCAAAATTCTTGAGGACTTCCCAAAGTGCTTGGGCATCTGTGACTGTGGAATCCGAGAGACCAATTGCAAGGGAGAGGGAACACAGGATGACTCCTCCAGAGTCACGAAATAATCCCTCCATGCCTGCTGACCCTGGGTTTCCCAATGAGCAGCCATCAAAGTTGAACTTGATGTGGTCGGGATCTGGGGGTCTCCAGAAAGAAGCACGAGGAAATCTGAATGATGAAAGATTCAGCAAGGTAGGCCAATTGAGTTGGAAGTCTGAGAGAGATAGGTGGCTAAATTTTTTATTGTGAATTGCCCAAAATATAACCAGGGATTTGGCCTTCTCGATCAAAGCTGATGGGTATGACCATTGGCTGAGGAAGATTCTGTTAATCCTTTCCTGCCTGATGACTGAGAGGGTTGCTGTCACAGAGCCTCTCCATAAAGTGGTACCCGCCTTAGACCAGGGAGGGGAGAAATGGGCACGAAAAGATGGGGGAAGAGTTGGGGGGTTCACCCATTGCCAATGGGACAGTTGAAGGAGATCAGCCCAAATGCAGGAGTTGCTTTTTAGTCAGAAAGTCAAATGAAAATCTAATTTATGGTTTTCTTTCTGTGTTTCTCTGTGCTTGTGCACGGAGAGAAGGGGGGGAGGGGGGATAGGTGGGGTGGGGGGGAAGAGAGAGAAGCTTTAGCACAATGAAGTAGAAGAAGGCCAGAATCAACATCATTTTCCAAGGTTTCCCATTTTCAAATTCTAACTAGAAATGGTTACTGTGCCTAACTAAAAGAAACAATAAAGAGTATAATGGTCATTCTATGTGCACAGTTTGCTTGTTAACCACCATGGTTGCAGGCCCTTTGAATGGAAGAAGCGGATTTTACATAGATATAAATAGACTATTAATCATAGAGTGACTTTTAATTCTCCAAGATCTGAGCTTGCATATTCACAGCTTGTGTTGCCTTATTTTAGTAAATAATTCAACTTTCTCGTTGTTTTAAAATCATTGTTTTAAATTCCATCATTAGCATCAGAGCCTTTTCCCAACTATTTGGGGTCGACTAAACGAATCTTGGTCCGTCATTTTGCTCTATCAAGGTCCATATTCTTAGTGAGGCCATAAGTCGACAAATTTTTTTTCACTACTTCCAACTGTCCGTTTGGGCCTACCCCTTGCACTTTTTGGGCCTTCAATTTGAACCATCTCGCACCTCCTAACAGGAGCTGTACTGGATCTGCTCTGCACATGGTTAGCTCACCTAAGTCTACTTTCTCTTATCTTATCACTTATTGGAGCCACACCTATGTTCTTCCAAATGTATTCATTTTGAATTCTATTTGTACTTGTCTTGCCCCTCATTCATCTTAACATCTTCATCTCAGCTACACTCATCCTATGGGTATATTGTTTCTTGATCACCTAACATTTAGCCCTATAAAGCAAAATTGTTCTCACAACTGTCCTATAGAACTTCCCCTTTAGCTTTCATTGGCAAGCGGCGATCACATAAAACTCTGGTTTTACGTCTCCACATCGCCCACCCAGCTCTAATTCTACGTGCGAAATCTTCTTCAATCTCTCTATTTTCTGGGATTGCCGAACCATAATATCGAAATTGCACTTTGTTTGGTATTATTTCGAATTCCAATTTAGGCAAATGCTTGCTAGCCAAGGCCTTTACTGGAGAACAGGTTGTGCCTAACATGCATATGTTGGGTTTGTGTGTGTGTGTGTGTGTGTGTGAGAGAGAGAGAGAGAGAGAGAGAGAGAGAGAGAGAGAGAGAGCATCG